GAAAAATTCTCCACCAAAAGTCTACCATTTGAACTACATGAAATATGATCAGAACTTAACATTATAAACACAAAAAATATATCATTCCGTAGAGAAATGGACGCTCTTATATGTACCGGCGCTTTTTACCATTCGCCCGGATCTGGTGGTGACTGGAAGGGCTTCGGTGCCACCTTGACTTCAATCACTGAAGCTGTCTCCACCTCTGAGACCGCCTCCTCCTCTGTGTCAGAATTCAGCACAACGGCTATCTCTTGGCTTTTAATTTGGGGAATGGCTTCCTCAGCCACCAAAGCTTCACTGAGAGTCATGAACCGTCTGTTCGGGTTCGGAATTGCTCTCCTCTTCTTGCCTCTCTGCAGCCGGGCCACTTCTTCCTCTAGCTTCGCGATTCTGTTGCTGTGCTCGGCAAGCGTCTGTTCTGGGCTTCAAAGCCTCTAGCTATCACGGCGTATCGTCTCCGGGTGCCAGGAGTCTTGTTCTTTCCGAAATCGCGAATCTGGCGGCTTTTTCTTGGCGTATCATCAGAACCCAAAATGGCGCGGACTTTGGAGACGTCTCTACAATGTCCGCGTGAATTTCTGGATGCCGCAATGCCTTGGATCGTGAGATCGGCCAATTTCCAGTGACCCTCCAGCCGGACAATATATTCTTTGCCGTCATTCCAACCTCGCGCGCTTTAGCATATGCCGTATAAAATTGACCTTATGAACAGGCGCAGAATCGGTCAAACAGGTCAATTTCTGAAGTTCTTTCCGGTAAGCTGCCTTGGAGGCATTGAATACACCGTTATCTAACGGCTGGAGGCCATGAGAGCAGTGGGCAGGAAGGTAACAGCAATAAACGTTGTTCAAAAGCATGTGGCCATCCATGCATCCTGGTCTCGGTTAACAGTAATTCCTACAGAGGTGGATAAAGAAACGCACCGTTGCATGACTTCCATGTCCATCTAATATGATCAGTCTAGCATCTGAGGCATCGGCTGGTCGCGTCTGGGGCAAATAGACCCTCTCAAGCCACTCAATAGCGATATGGTTGTCCGTCCATCCGTTGGGCGACGTTATGTAATGCCAGTCGGCTATTTTGCCGAATTCCGTCAAGAACCACTGTTTCTGAAGCTCTTTGCCCTTAAAGATAATGCCAGGGGTAAGGACACGGCCATCCGCGGTGATAGCTTCAATAAATGAGGTCCAGTTGCGGGACTGTGGCCCTTTCAGAAGGGCCTTCCGTTTTGGGTCTGCACTCCCAACCACAAGACTATCCAAACCTGGCAAAAAGAGTCTGGTTAGTAAAAGTAATGAAAGACAAGCCAAATACTCACCAAAGCCAGACATAATACCGCCTTCGTCAACATTCACGGTATTTTCTGGTTTAATCCATCCATACTCCTTTTCCTGATATCGAAGAACCAGTGAACCGCCCGAGGCGTAAAAGCATTAAATCGGTTAGCTTCCTGACGTCTCCCACGCTTGTTCTTGATGTCCGGATGGCGATTGATGAATTTAGAGACCCAGTTGCGCCCCACTGTCCGCTCGTTGTTCAGTTGCTTTATAAGAGCCTCCACACATGCGCGGATCTGACTGTGGGAGGAGCATAGCCGAGAGACTCTTGGCGGAGGATCCAAGAAACCAAGCGAGCTTCCTGAGACTTACTCAAGAGTTGACGAGGCTGGATCTGATCAGCCAGGGCTACCTGGCCTTTGAGTCTGTCGGAAATAGACTGCTGAGGTATGTCATACTTTTGGGCGGCGCGGTACTGCGACAAGCCGTTTTTTGTGACATCAATTATCGCATTAGCATAATATCCTCCGTATAAATACCCGAGGCCGCTTTAAGGTCATTTTGGTCATGTGGTGGAGGAATAACGAGAAGAATCATCGTCAGGAGGCGGAAGGAGATTAGGGGTTGGATGGTAATTTCGCGTGCAAGGTACGCACAGGCCGCAGACCCTGTACAAACATTCAACCATCGAAAAGTAGAATTCAATCAATCCACTATCTACTCCAAGTGACGGCTTGTGAATATCTTCAAAGCTGGCTGGAATCCGTGTAAGTGAAATTGATGGTTTTTGGTGGGGATATTTTCTAATGCGCTACCGAAAGGTGGGTGTTACCGAAAGGGGGGTGGGGCATGGTAGTAATTGCCCAGTGCCCACCCATCCCTTAGTCTTCCCGCACAGTACTTCGTAATTAGCGTGCAGAGGAAAGGCGCTCTGGCGGCAGTGGTGCCTCGCACTTGCCCTACGCCGGCTTCTCCTTCCCTGGGCGCCTCGTCAGCCTGTCTCGCGACTGCCTCGTTGCCTCGTTGCCTCTTTGCCTGGCTGCCTGGCCTGGAGCTGGAGACAGGGACCAGAGTCACCAGACAGGGGCCAGACAGGGGCCTGCTCGGCTCCTGCCTCGTCCTCCTTGAGGCTTCAGCTAGCTGCCTCCGAGCAGAGGAGGAGCCATCCGAGCTTGCTGCCTCGACGACCCCTGCAAGTCTCCCTCGATGCGGCTGGCCCTGTTCACCTTGACCGCATCTTGTTTGAAATTTGGCCCTGACCCTTTGTCCCCATTCCGCCCATCGCCTGTGTGAGAGATGGAGTGTGCGCCACTCGACATGCCTACATTGGCCCTGTTTCGGCTCCCCGTCTCTCGGTCTTGGCCCGGCTGCCTCGAGCCTCTTGCATGCCTCGAGCTGCGTGGGCAATGCTTCGACCAAAGACTACGCCATTGCCTGGACACGGGGCGCATTTTGTTCAAGTCCGCGGAACTGACTCCCATCGTCTCCTTGGCGAGAGAATCCCCTGGCGACATAGAGTTTGCCCGCGTCCCGGAGCCTCGTCATGGTCCCCCGGTGAATCAAGATTGACTGCCTATTGTCATTTCACTCCAGGTCACACAGCCTGCTCGGAAATACAAGGCCAGACGAGAAGGGGGGAGGGGCGTCGCCGTCGTCAGTGCTCTCTCATCCATTCTCGTCCAGTCACGGCCGCCGCCCGGGTGGAGAGAAGATCAACCATGGAGCCCCCAGCGGGACCCTGCACTGGTCTCCGGCAGCATCTCCGCTCTCCGTCTCTCCCGCAAGCTTGCCTCGACCTCCCCCGCTTATCTGTCCTTCCATTGAATGTCTGATGTCTACCCAGGGCCACGCAAGTGACTATCGTGTGCGCTTAGACTCCCCTGTCCCCGAGGAGAAAGGGCCCACGGAGAAAGGCAAGCTAGAATCGTCTGGAGCTACTGGCCGCGTCCTAAACTCTCCTACCTAATCTTCATACGATGCGTCGTTAGCCTCTCTCGTGCCAAGGGAGCTAGATTAGCGGCGGACTCGCCGTTCGACGTGACGGAAGCAACGATTGCCAGGTGAACCGTCCCCGGCATCTACTCCAAACACGGACGCCAACCGTCCAACGGCTCGCCCTCCCTCCTGTTCGTCGCGCCGTTGTCGACGACCTGTCGCCGCGGTCTAGCGTCCACTGGACTAACAGCCGTCTTGTCGCGTTTTGTCTTGCTCGCGCGAAACTCTATCCAGACACGGCGGCCAATTCGTGATTGATGTCTGGGTGGGCGAAGAGCGCGAGCCGCGAGCCGCCCCGAGCTCGCGTCCCTCTTCTCCTTCTCTGAAACGCCTGTCTCTCTCTTTGTCTGTCTCTCGTTTCTTTTGGGCATCCCCACATCCGCCGCAGCTCCGGATCTGCGCGCGCATGCAATCGCACACTCAGGGCCTGGCATCTATACACCCAGGCAGCGTCGTCTGTCTGCTTTTGCTCGCCCTTCGCGCTTTGTAAACGGCACTTGCATAGCACCTTCTACAGAGGCGAAATGAATACTAGCCTGGTTGTCTCTCGCCAGATCCGTTTGCTTGGCAATGGGGAACGCGCGCGTGTCCACACAGCTAAAGATGGAGAGAGCTGCACGCCCTCCGTAACCTTACTCCCCTCCCCTTTCCCTTGACCCTATCGTCGTTGGGGGATTCTCGAGCCTAGAGCTCATCGACTGCGGCATCAGGTCGGCGGCTATCCACATGCACGACACTACGGCCATCAATGTCCGTGCCGTGTCTGTATTCCAGTGTGTGTGCTTCGGACTCGGTCCAGCATGGGCAAGCCACTCGGTCATGGCCTCTCTCTCTTCTCCTCGGACTCTTCCCCTCTATGCTTTGGTATGGATACATGTCAATGTGCTGATGCGTATGTACGGATACACACGACCATCCACATGCATGCTCGCACACCCCCCCTTCTCTCCACATGGGGCTCATTGCCCTGCTAGGTACACACCCTCCCCTTCCCCGGTCATGTCCGCGCCGACCCAGGATCCTCCGCGGGCCAAGATCCCTGCCAAAGGCGGTCCCCCAATTCGAGACCAGGCAGAATGTCGAGGTTACTTGGCTTGGCCGTGGACGGTATAGCCCCAAGCTGCTGTCGACTGCCTGCAACGTCCTGCCTTTGATCAGCACCACCACTTTATTCGACTCGTCTCGATTCGCCGTGGTTTTTTTTCCCTTATAATATACAAAGAGGCCGGGCCATCTTCTCTCTCGACACACTCTCGCCTCTCTCCTGCGTTTTCTTCACCTCTCCACACACCTTTTCTCGACTAACAACACACTCCGTATTCTCTGCCCCATGCACCCGGCTTTATAAGACGCCGCCGCTGCTGACTCCTTGCCTGTATTTCTCGTGTCACACCCTCGAGGGCACGCCTCTTTTCCGCTCCCAAGCTGCCCTGCCCTCTCTCTCTCCATCATCCTCCGGCCATTCAGGACATTGAGCACCGAGGCCACGACGCACACGAGCAGCGAGAAGAACAACAGGACAAACCGACAGGAGAGGGAAAAACGTGCTCTCTGTTCCAAGTTCTGGCGGTTGTCACTGCTTCCACCTACCAGCTTTCCCAGACGTCAACGGCATTCGCTCATCTGGCGCCTCGACGAACGCCGCGACCAACAACCAACCCTTTTTCAGAGACGCAGAGCCTTGTTCCCTTCCACACACACATCTTTCTCGGGCCCACCTCAATCATGGTAGAACAACAACAATATATCTCCCCTGGTCTGCCGCATTCGGATGTTCTTTTAGAAGCCCCCAACTTGACCGACGGCGCCCGCTCATCATCGACGTCTTCCTACTACTCGACGGTAAGAGAGAGAAAGCCCTTATCTGAGCCCCCTTTCCCCATGCTGCTGTGCCTTGGGCGCGAGAGAGAGAGAAAATCAGATTCACGCCCCCTACCCCCCTCTCTCTCCCCAGAGACACGCGCTCGCTCGCTCCCCACTCTCATTCTTCCTCGTCTGCCTTTTCCTCCTCCTCCCTCCCATCTATCCCATCCCTCCTTTCCTCCTCCGTCACACACACACACACACACACAACACCAACACGCATACCCCTTGGTGTCCCGTCTCTCGCTCCCTTCTCTCTTCCTTGACTCGCTCAAGTCTTCTTCCGACTTACCATGCTCCGTCGACAGGTCACTTCGTTCAACCTCCCACCGCAGTGCGACGCCAACCTGCTTACCCCCATCTCTGCCTCGGGCTCTCCGCCTCTGCAGCACATGCGCAAGTTGATGGGCCAGTACCCTCCTCCCCCCGGCAGTCCCCAGGCCCAAGAACCAACGCCCCCCGGAAGCTCCAGAATGTATCACCACTGGAATCACCAGTTCGACATCAACGGCCAGCCCAGCTCCACCAGCTCGCCCATGGGCACTCCGGGCCACGTCGCACATGATTTCTACATGACGGGCGAGCGCAGGACTCCCGGGCCCCCGGAGCCATACCTGGGCATGTACAACGTGTCGGAGCCTGATCCCCAGCATCTGCCCAACCCGGAGCCGCCCTACTTGATGGACGTGGCCCCCATGGGCGGCCAGAACCACATGATGGTGCGCGATCATCAACACATGGCGGTGGATCCTCAGCACCGCGACCTGAACCGCACCCTCCTCTCCTCTGGCCCTCTCCTGAGCGATCCTCCCCCGCACGCTCGTCACATTCGCCGCCTCAGCACGGGGCGTCCTGCCGTCGAGAACCACCGGTCCTCGAGCGGCTCGCCGCGCCGCCGCGGCGTCCCTTGCGCAAACAGAGTCAAGAAGCCGAGGACGTCGAGGCGCCAGTCTGCCTCTCTGCGCAGCCACCCGCCGACTGACCCGTCCGAGGAGCACAAGAACTGCCTCGGGAACGAAGTGCCCCCTACCCTCAAGAGCACCTGCCCCGACGAGGAGCGGTGCATCTTTGAGTCGCGATGGCGCCATCGCCACCAGAGGGGGCAGGACATGTGGGACAGCATCCAGACCGACTTTTCCAAGCGTTTCAACAAGACGCATGGCAAGGAGATGCTTCAGATGAAGTTCAAGCGCGCTCGCTCAAAGTACATTGAGTGGCTGCCCAGGGATGTGAGTACTCGGCCTGAACCCCCCCCCCCCCTTTCCAACAAGCAAGTGGCTAATGTGCCTGTCCCTCGTGCAGGAAGAACTACTCCGCGAGGCTTGGAAGCGGATGGAGCGAGATCGATACCAAACCCTGCTCGAAACCTTTGTCGAGATGGGCGGATCGCGGAACATGCGCCTCAACGCCAGCGACATCGAAGTCAAGGTGGTCAACGACATGAAGCTGGAGGAGCACCTGTACATGGAGAACTTTCGCGAGCTGGAGATCCGCCGGCGGCGCAAGGTGCCCGCCAAGAAGCGGCAAAACGGCCACCACGACGACGTGACGGCGGCCGAGGACCTGATGGTGTCGGACCCGCGCGTGGCGACGCACAACGAGGAGGACGTCATCAACCAGGTGCACACCCGGCGCGACATGCGGTGGGAGACGGACTCGTCGGCGCACAGCGAGATCGTCGACCTGCCCGTGTGGGAGAACCGCGCGCCCATGAAGATGGAGCCGCCGTCGTCGCTCAGAATGGCCAGTGGTCGCGGCGTGTACGGCGCGCCCAAGTGAAGACATGGACCCATGAGATGGGCGGACGTCATGGGATGGACCGATGGGCTTTTTTCTTCTTCCTTCTGTTTGTCTACCCCTTTGAGACTTGTGGTTTTCTTTTTTTTCGGCCCTGGAACCCGGAAAACAGGGGCAGATTCAGTCTCAGATCTGGAGGGACTTCGACTGCTGTGGCCGATGCGGTTTCCTGGTCTTGTTCTATTTAGATTGCCTTCATCTTCTCGACGGAGAGCCGCCACTCCTTGCTGGACCCCCATTTCCCCTCTATTTCCCGACAACTGATACTCCTCTTGATGCTTTGATACCGGAATACAGTTCAATTGAATTTAGTCTACTGCACAAGTCGCTGTGAACGAGACCAGGGGTCGTCAAGTAACCATCGGGCACAGGCAACACTTCTCCGACGGCGCGAAAGAGGAAAAAGAAAAAATAACAGGGGATCGGTTTTAATAGGAGACAGTAAGCGAGTGACGATGAAACTACATAGAGCTGGAGAGATAGAGCCTTGTGGCTGCAGAGGGACATTGACAAAGGGGGGGCTGTGGCTGATTCGGGTTGCATCCAAGTGCGGCGCGGCACATCGGCGTTAAGAGCATACAGTAGAGACGTACAAAGTATGCCAAGGATAAATCAGCTTGCCTTGTTCCGTTTCCTGGTGCTTCAAGGCTCAGGAGGCGGAGTTGATGGAAGGGGTGGGAGAGCGGCATCCATTGGACTCTGCCTCTCCACAGCCTTGGTCTATCTTGGGATTTGCTACTATTTTTGCTACGTTTTTTGTTATTCTGACATTTTCTCTCCCACAGACGAGAATAGAGTCTTCGTCTATGTGTATGCGTGCGTGCGGGTATTCGTACATGCTGGTAGGTAGGACGGACCTGTGGGCATAGACAGCAGGGGCTTGAATTGGTCGATTCGGGGCACCAGATGGACCTCCGCATGTCACCGGCCTCACGCCATGGGCCCATCGTTCTCGCAAAGAGCCGTATGAGCTGCAGTATAAAGAAGCGGCACGATGTGGGCGATATAAACCCGAGCCGGATTTTGGGGGTGGTTCGCTCGCGCGGACATGCATACAGGAACCTACATGGTAGCACCACAGACAAGGGGGAAAAGAGGGGGAAAGTGACGAGAGGTTCTGAGAGGAAAGTTGACGATGCACTTGCCAGGGGCCAGACCCCCGGCTTGGGGCCGATTTGGGCCCAGGCTGCAGTGTGCGGCGAGCACGCGGACAGTATCTGTTATGGGAGACTGTCTCCTGTGTGTCTGATCTCGTCAGCCGCATTCTCGCCGTGGGAGCGCTTACAGGGGGTTTGGGCCTGATTTGGGAGCGGACGCGGGTTTACGGGGTGCTATCTGAGGAGGGAGATATGACGGATCGTACGGGCGCGGAATGGTGAGATTCTTGCACTGAATAGGACGGACCTGTGTGCGCGTGGGTGTTTGCAACCGTCGATGTCGTTGCGGTAGCATATGCATAGTCTGTCACGGATTCTTTACCGAGGTATCTGTATACTCTTTGCTTTTCACCATCACTTTAGAGGCTTTGCTTTCTTTTTCCTCGGGACGAAGCAGGTAGTGTAAAAGCAAGACCCGTCCTCAACGACAGCAGACGAAGCTATCATGGCCTATATAACCAGCCCACCTCGATAAGTACTTTCCAGGTCGTAGGGTAGCAAGCAAGCATCTCCGTTTTACCATGCAGTTGGGTGGTGCCCCGATCAGGCTGACTGGCCCTCGTGGTGGCTGCGCCCCCTTCCCGTCTCGGCTATCGCATGCACCTCTCTCTCTCTCCCCTCAGACCTTGAAGCTCGATCTCGCACATGGGTTGTGCTGGAGAGTGGGAAGCGAGTGTTGGGAGCAGAGGCGGCGGCAACCGCGTCGGTGTTGGTTGATGGTGAGGAGGAGCAGACGCCGGCTATGCATGATGGACAGACAGGGGATGGACTGGTTATGGAAGCCTTCCTTCCTTCTGCTTGGCGTTCTTCGAGTCCACTGTCTCATGCCAGGTCGTGATGCTCAAGTTATCTTGTTGACCTGGGGATCGAGACATCAATTGTGGCCGCCGTGGAACGTGTACGATATATGTACAAGCAGATGACTTTACTCTGCTCATCATATCCGCGCATGCCTGGTGAATCGCCACATCTCCTTTGTACAGACACAAAACGCGTAGAGAAGTCCTCGGTTTGATAACCGGGGTCCTTTAATGTTGCCAAGCGTCGTGGGCTTGGGGGCAAGGGTGTTATTGTTCCTTGCCTGCTTGCCAGGCCCCCCCCCCTGTTCCTGAATGACGCACCTGGTAAATCATTGCAAGTACTTTGTCCAATGAATCCGATTTGTATTTATATGATTAATGTGCCCCAGGCCTTGAAGTGTCTCTTGATTACTGTGATCCATGCCCGTGTAGCTCAAGCGAGGGCCTGCATGCCAAGGCAGCTCAGCTCTGCCCCGGCGAGTGATGAGAGGTCGTCATCTTGCATGTGCCGGTACCGGGTGGCTTGCGTCCGAACAAAAAATCAAGCCTCTCCGATGGGCTCGGCGGCCAGAATGTAATGTCATCAACTGCTCCCATCCATGTCTTGCGGGACATGCTCCGTAGATACTAGATAGATGGTGTACTTCCGTCGTACGTGATGGGTCTTTGTCCGCCTTGGGTTCTCTGGCCCTTTGCTTTCTTTTTCCGTGTCCCCGCCGTCCCCCCCTTTAATGATAGAACGACAGCGGGATAGGGGGACGTTGCATCTCCGCGGGGCCGAGCTGGCTGGGCCGGGCCAAAAAGGGTGGGGGCGGCTTTTGTCCCTTTTAGACAGAACGGTTTTGGTCTTTTTCTTTTTCTCCTTGGTTTGGGCGGCGGGGGCTAATAGGGATTCGCTTGCTTCGGTGAGATCAATGGGGGAGACTAAGACTGAGACCGGAGAGATGGCGCGTGTGAGGCCCCCACAAGCCGGACTAATAATACACAAACTAATCAAGACAGTCTCGGGGCAGAGAAAAACCTTGTCTCTGTGTTTGAGCTATAGACTTATGCATGTTTGGTATGCGTAATTGGTGATGTGCCGCTGGTGGGGGGGAGGGGAGATGGCGAAACCGGAGCGCAGTTGGCTCTTCAAGTACGAATACATTTTTCCATAGTTTTGGGTGCGAATAGACATGTTTTCTTTACTCACACTCCCTCGGGGAGTTGTGCCTGTCCATTCATGCACATGAGAGGTGAGCAGAGCGATTGTATGGTCTCGTGTCGATGTAGGGCAAGCCTACACCTGAAGCGAGGTGAGAGGCGCTATCCGGCCAGTCAGCCTTCCACACACCCATTGCGCACCACGCGTCGCCCCGCCACGTGAAGCGTCAGCAGGAGTCAACGACAAGTGACAGCCGTGTGTGTGTGTGTGTGTGTGTGTGTGTGTGTGTGTGTGTGTGTGTGTGTGTGTCTGTGTGTGTGTCTGTATGTGTGTAAGTGACTGCAATGGCGGCTGTTGTCTCCGCAAGCCGGGCCCGGAGCCGCCGCACCGAAAAGCAGCGCTAAAACGGCCACGAACAACTGCCTGCCCCTCGTGTCAGTACCAGCTCTAGCGCCGTCTTGGCCTAGCCTGACGGGCTCGCAGTGTAAGTTACGTAGGTACCCGGTCAGTGTGCCAGGTAGGTAGGTAAGTACCCAGGTATCCGTGCAGCTACAGGAAACCGAGGGGAGGGAGGGGGACTGGGAGCGGGCGCTGCCATCGGGCAGGCGGCTCTGCGGCTCAAGCAGCAGCTGCAATGAGTCACACGCAGCTCCATGTCGTCCTGCGCGGCACCTCGGAACATGCGTAGGTACAGGTACCGTAGTAGGTTGAGGTACGTGTTTGGATCTGCCGCAGGTATCGGTACTCGCATGGCGACGTTGATAATCGTCCGCCCCCGCACACCCACAGCACAAGCGCGAGAAGCGGGGCGCCGAAGAGGAGGGGGCGTGGCGCTGGGACGCCAAGTACCGGTACTTTGGCCTCCGGACCACACATCTCCACACATCTTGCTCGTCTCCCCGATGCTTGTCCCCTTGCTCTCTGGATTACTGAACAACAAGGTTTTATTCGCTCCTCTCATTCCACGAAGCGAGCTTCCAATAAGGGGCAGGAGGGCAGCAAGGACGGTGGCGATGGCGTGATCAGGGGAAGAATGGTTCGTGGCCAATTGTCCCAGGGCCTGGTGCGCCAACCGGCAAGCCATCATCATATTCATCCCATTTGCCGGGACAACGTGCCACGGCCTGCCGCAATATTGCTGGAAGGCATCCGTGTTCGTACATGGAATAATTGACATGCGTTGAAGGCACGGCATCCCCCCGCAGGCGAGCACGAAGGCGGCGTTTCCAGCATCAATCGCCCCCGAGGCAGGCCTTTGGTTTTCCTACCTCCCCCCCCCCGTGCTTCGGAATCGTCCACATGCGGAAACGACACGAGTATCCGTCTTTGAAAGGGCGACCAGACGAGGCTGTGGCGGATGAATCGTCTCCGTCACGTGTGACGCGAGCCAAAAGCCGGTTCCGCCAGCAGCGAGTCCTCGTTGCTTCTTCCACTCACGCCCCCCTTTCCTCCCGCATATATGCGTATGCAGCCGGCCCAGTACGCGAGCGTCCCTCTGGACGTATGTAGGCAGCATACCCGGACACATGCCACGTACGAGCGCGCGCCTACATGCCGTTACTGCTACTCTTACATACATACATACAGCCTGCCATGGCGGTGCAGGCAACAGATGCGACGCTGGTCCCGACACTCTGGAAAATGACGCGGACACACGCCGGAACCTTTGCCAGAGTCTCTCGCGGCCCAATCGTGCCCCGTCGCCCGCGCAGTAGCGGCGGCTCAAACAACAGGCGGTGTCCGGTCACCTGTTGAGCTCGACGACTTGAGCCTCATCCTCGGCCAGGACAGCCAGAGCGTCGTAGCCACCATGTGGGATCGCTTCTGCCAACCTATCGAGCCTCCATCCATCCATCTGCCGAGGATATAGCTTGCCTCCTT